TGGATCTGATTTGGTGTCTGAACTCTGAGCTGCTTTCTGGCGTCCACACGTTTCGTTCTTATTAAGAATCCCTAGAGGACCTGATAAACCAGTACAGACGTTTCAATGACTGAATATAAAACCATATTGGAATGGAATTGTGTAAAACTCAGTTTCAATGATATTGTTAATGTATTTTATGTTTATAGAATGTTAATACATATTAATTTGAATGGCAATATTTAATGACAGAATTATTATTATTATTGTTGTTGTTGTTGTTTTGGTGGTGCTGGTGTAAAATAATAATAATGATAACTGTTTAATATTGAACTGCTTAGTGTAATAAAATCCCCCTCTCTCTCTCGTTTAGTGCCCTTCTTGGCTCACAACCGTAAGGTGGATAAACCTGAGGATGATTCTGAGGTGAGGATTTACTGCCCTGTGGAAAAAGTTTATTAAGGAAGATTTAGACAAAATTACAGCAACAAAAGGAGACAAAGAGAAATAAAGTAATAAAAAGAAAAGAAAAAAGCAAAACACATAATAACAATATATGAATTAATTTATCTGAACTATAAAAATAAAACTGAATGAAGTAAAAACGTTAATCGTGTGTGTTGTGTAGGATCTGAAGGCGGTGGTGGACGGGATGGAGGGGCTGCAGATTTCGGAGGGTTTGGGTTTGGCTGATTTCGATCTGATCCGTGTGATCGGTCGGGGCAGCTACGCTAAAGTGCTGCTGGTTCGGCTGAAGAAGAACGAACACATCTACGCCATGAAGGTGGTGAAGAAGGAGCTGGTACACGATGACGAGGTGAGGCGCATCTCCACGGTAACAGCAGGTCAGACTGTGAACTGCTGGGATCTCTTACAGCTCAGCTGGTGAAACATCATGTTGTATTAGAGCTCCCAAACTCTGGAGCAGCGTTCCGAGGAATATCAGGAACACAAACACAACAGGAGCTTTAAATGTAGATTAAAAACGTTCTTTTGAGCTGGTCTGTGTCTAGAAGCATTGTAGCTCAGTTTCTCCTGTGTAAAACACGTCCAGAATTAAAATGAAAAGTGCTTCATAAATTAAAAACATTTTTTAATTTTATTATTATTATTATTATTATTATTATTATTATTTCCTGGCATGGGTCAAAAGGTAATGAGGTGTTAAAGACTGCTGAATGAAGGTCGGAGAGGCTCTGCTGACCAGTTTTCAAATTAAAAGTCCCTCATAACCCAGTTATGTCTGCTGCACGTTTGATATCTGACTACCAGATGGCGCTATTGAAACACTGTAATTCAGCACATTCTCAGCATCCTCAGATGTTCAGTACCCACAGTTCAGCTCCTCAAACAGGTTTAAAACAGAAGTATACGCATTTCTATACTATCATCTCTGAATATTTTCCCTAAATACTACACATGTATGTCCATACAGGCCATGTGTGCTGTGACGGTCATGCGGTGGTGGAGTTTGAGCGCAAATTCCCTCCATGCCTTTAGTGGGCAGCACAGTAATGTGACTAATAATTAAAACACGTCCAAACCTCGTTATTTATTGATGTGTTTTCTAACGCACGCTATCAAAGAGTAAACAGAGCAAAAGATGAGAAGTGTCAGCAAGTTAACGTCCTCACAGAGAGAAAGGCGGAACTTATAATCAGAGCTTATTATATGAGGTTCACACAGGGAGACGGGCGGAGAGAGAGGGAGAGTAAAGGGAGAGTTACAGAGAGAGAGACAGGCAGGCAGACAGACAGAGAGAGAGAGTACCGAGAGAGAGAGACGGACAGACAGAGAGAGAGACAGATGAGAGAGAAGTGTATGCTGTGCGTATGCAGTGCGCGCGTGTGTGTGTGTATGCAGTGTGTGTATGCAGTGTGTTTGTGTGTGCGTATGCAGTGTGTGTGGGGGGTGCATATGCAGTATGTGTGTTTATATGCAGTGTGTGTGCAGTGTGTGTTTATGCAGTATGTGTGTTTATATGCAGTGTGTGTGCAGTGTGTGTGTGCAGTGTGTGTGTGTGTGTGTGTGTGTGTAAGCAGTGTGTGGGTTGTGCATATGCAGTGCGTGTGTGTGTGGGGGTATGTGTATGCGGTGTGTGTGTGGGGGGTATGCGTATGCAGTGTGTGTGGGGGTGTGCGTATGCAGTGTGTGTGTGTGTGGGGTATGCGTATGCAGTGTGTGGTGTGCGTATGCAGTGTGTGTGTGGGGGGGGTATGTGTATGCGGTGTGTGTGGGGGGTATGCGTATGCAGTGTGTGTGGGGGGGTGTGCATATGCAGTGTGTGTGGGGGGGTATGTGTATGCGGTGTGTGGGGGGGGGTATGCCTATGCAGTGTGTGTGGGGGGGTATGTGTATGCGGTGTGTGTGGGGGGGTATGCCTATGCAGTGTGTGTGTGTGCGTACGCAGTGTGTGTATGCTGTGTGTGTGTGTGTATATGCTGTGTGTGTGTGTATGCAGTGTGTGTGTTTGTGTGTGTATGCTGTGTGTGCGTACGCAGTGTGTGAGTGTGTGTGTGTATATGCAGTGTGTGTGTGTGTGCAGTGTGTGAGTGTGTGTGTGCGTATGCAGTGTGTGTGTGTGTGCGTACGCAGTGTGTGTATGCAGTGTGAGTGTGTGTGCGTATGCAGTGTGTGTGTGTGCAGTGTGTGTGTGCGTACGCAGTGTGTGTGTATGCTGTGTGTGTGTGTATATGCTGTGTGTGTGTATGCAGTGTGTGTGTTTGTGCGTATGCTGTGTGTATGCAGTGTGTGTGTGTGTGTTTGTGCGTATGCTGTGTGTGTGTGTATGCAGTGTGTGTGTGTTTGTGCGTATGCTGTATGTGTGTGTATGCAGTGTGTGTGTGTTTGTGCGTATGCTGTGTGTGTGTATGCAGTGTGTGTGTGTTTGTGCGTATGCTGTGTGTGTATGCAGTGTGTGTGTGTGTATACAGTGTGTGTCTATACAGTGTGTGTGTGTGTGTGTGTATACAGTGTGTGTCTATACAGTGTGTGTGTGTGTGTATACAGTGTGTGTGTGTATACAGTGTGTGTGTGTATACTGTGTGTGTGTGTGTGTATACTGTGTGTGTGTGTGTGTATACAGTGTGTGTCTATACAGTGTGTGTGTGTGTGTATACAGTGTGTGTGTGTATACAGTGTGTGTGTGTATACTGTGTGTGTGTGTGTGTATACAGTGTGTGTCTATACAGTGTGTGTGTGTGTGTGTATACAGTGTGTGTGTGTATACAGTGTGTGTGTGTGTGTGTGTGTATACAGTGTGTGTGTGTATACAGTGTGTGTGTGTGTGTGTGTGTGTATACAGTGTGTGTGTGTATGCAGTGTGTGTGTGTGTATACAGTGTGTGTGTGTATGCAGTGTGTGTGTGTGTATGCAGTGTGTGTGTGTGTATGCAGTGTGTGTGTGTGAGAGAGAGAGCTGTGGCTGATTGGCGCTGTGCTGGATGTCGTAACTCTCGTTTGCTCTCTGAGTGGAACATTCTAGAACAGCGTAGAACAGAGTTGCAGTGGGAGTCAGTGAGCTGTTTACTCAACCAGGTGTTTCAGCTACAGCTGCACTGTGATGTGTTATTTGTGGTGTTACTGCAGTGTTTACAGGGGTCTAGGGGGTCTCACAGGGGTTTGTGGGGTCTCACAGGGGTTTGTGGGGTCTCACAGGGGTTTAGTGGGGGGGTCTCACAGGGGTTTAGTGGGGGGTCTCACAGAGGAATGTTGGGGGTGATGTGGTTGTTTGGGGTCTCACAGGGGTTTAGTGGGGTCTCACAGGGGTTTGTGGGGTCTCACAGGGGTTTAGTGGGGGGGGTCTCACAGGGGTTTGTGGGGTCTCACAGGGGTTTAGTGGGGTCTTTCAGGGGTTTAGTGGGGTCTCAGGGGTTTAGTGGGGTCTCACAGGGGTTTGTGGGGTCTCACAGGGGTTTAGTGGGGGGGTCTCACAGGGGTTTAGTGGGGGGTCTCACAGAGGAATGTTGGGGGTGATGTGGTTGTTTCGGGTCTCACAGGGGTTTAGTGGGGTCTCACAGGGGTTTGTGGGGTCTCACAGGGGTTTAGTGGGGGGGTCTCACAGGGGTTTGTGGGGTCTCACAGGGGTTTAGTGGGGTCTTTCAGGGGTTTAGTGGGGTCTCAGGGGTTTAGTGGGGTCTCACAGGGGTTTGTGGGGTCTCACAGGGGTTTAGTGGGGTCTCACAGGGGTTTGTGGGATTGCCCTGTGTAAATTCTTTGCTGATGTGAAGTCTTTACTTTGTTTCTGATGAATCTGTGAATAAAAGGCTCCAAATCTGTCCTGTGTAGAGTCTATATGGGGGGATATTATATGCAGTTCTGATTGTTTACTTTGGGGGTCTTTGCTGTAACAGTGTGTTAAACTAACCCCCCTGTGTGGAGGCTGTACTATAGCCTGTCTATCTCTCACTGTGAGCTGTCTGTCTGCTTCTAAACGCTGCTGTATTACACTCACCAAGAAAAGATTACAGTAATACAGGAGTGAATTCTGTACAGATCACTGATCACAAACACTCAGGATGGAGAAAGTGACAGTGACGTTGCCATAGCGATATGAGAAGATGACCAAAAGTGTGTTCCAGTGGAACCTGGTTACATACATCCCTGTTTGACCCCACATTAGTTTGTGTCCCACTCCCTCCTACGGCTCTTACATCTGTTAGGTTTCTGTTTAATCTTCCAAATTAAAATGTCTCTCTCTGTCTCTCTCTCCCTGCTGTGTCCTTTAAAGAGGAGAAAGGTGCTGTGTAGAACATGTTCTCTGTAGTTCTAGTGTTCTAGTTGTGCAGTTCTGCTGTGATGTAGTCCTGTGTTGTTGCGTATCTGAGTGCAGAGCTGGTTAATAACAGTGTAGCTACCGTAGTTTACAGTGATAGTGGTTAGTTTCTCTTCACTGATTAGAAGCTTAATTGTTCTGAACATGTTAACGTCTCTCTAACGTTCTCCGTGTTCTCTGTTCTGTAGGACATAGACTGGGTTCAGACGGAGAAGCACGTGTTTGAGCAGGCCTCCACCAACCCCTTCCTCGTGGGTCTGCACTCCTGCTTCCAGACGGAGAGCCGGTACGAGGCAGTAACACCCTAATCTTTAATATTTACACTTCATTCACTCCGACGCTGCAACATCTTGAATATAATAAATACAGTTTGTCTGACACTGTACCGCCTTAAAGTGATAGTTCAGCTAAAAACCAAATCCCCCCGGTACCCCCACCCCTGCCCCTGCTGAAGCTTCAGTCGAGGTGCGTTTTGGTGTCTGAAGTTTGCTTTTTTAGTTTTAGCTCTGGAGCTACGAGGCTAATCTAGCTAACAAGTAACAGAAGCTTATACCCCACCAGTTAGCATGGTGCTAACTGCATGGCTAAATTAACACACACTGTGTGGAGGTGTTCAGTGTCTCTAATATTGATTATGTGGTTTCTGACTCTGTATGACTCACTGTTATAAACATGTACATGTTTATTATGTTTACATTTGCACAGCTAAACACAGTACCAGCCTGAATTTTGGAGACTGAATTTCATTTCATTCCTACATCTTTATCTGTGGTTCTGTGATGTTCCAGGCTGTTCCTGGTGATCGAGTATGTAAATGGAGGAGATCTGATGTTCCATATGCAACGACAACGGAAACTTCCAGAGGAACACGCCAGGTACAGCGTTCACTTCAGATTCTCAAGCCCATTTCACACCAGGCGCTGTAACCGCGCCGCACGACGCGCGCAGTACCTATATTAACCGACGCAGCCTTTCACACCGGCCGCGCGTTACCGCCAAAATACGCTTTAGGTCTATTTCTGCCGCGTGTCGGGTGCAGCATGCCAGCAGTTTCTATGCAGAAACAGTGAAGAAATCCAAAGTCTATGTTATACAATCTAAATAAACACATCAACACATCTAGTTTTAAGTCTTTGACGGGTTGACTGACTGAAATCCTTTGAGTCGGTTAATGTTAACCTGCCTCTCCTCCTCTAGAGCTACATCATCTGGTGAGAAGGCCAGCAGCAGTCAAGGCAGCTAGTCAGGTTTTATTGCTGATCTCTTTGTCATCTACATAAAGTTTAAGAGTAATACATAGATAAAACAGACGTTCATATTACGTGAAAACGCAGCACAAACAGCAACCGCTCTGGCTTCACGACGCGTGTTTGTGCGTCCAGTGTGAAATACCAAGCGTCGCGGAGAGGTTCCGCATTAGCATTCGCGCCGCGTCACATCTGGTGTGAAATGGGCTTCAGTTTATGGCTGCGAATGTTACTGAGCTCCTGCTGGTGTGGATCCAGTTTACAGCCTGCCTAGAACGAGCGTGTTAGCATATTAGCTTATCAGCTCATTGGTTCACTATTTGGTCAATTAGGTAATAGTTAGTTTGTGTGTGTGATATTTTAATTATGTGTAATATTAATCAATATTTGCTGATAATTTAGTTAATATCAGTTCTTGGGCTGATAAATAATAAACCTACAGAGTCACAGAATAAAGAGTTTATAACAGACGTGAAGATGACAGCTGCTCAAACCCCCCCAAGTGCAGGTGAATGGGGTGGGGGGGATTCACATATGCTGATTTACATGCATATGTAAATCAGAATGCTAATCACAGATAATTATCGTACATATTCATGAGTCGCTTGTAAAAGTCCCATGAGTCTTTGCTGCGCGGCAACATGAAGAGGGTCTCGCATGTTTGGAAATGTCAGCACTCGTTTTTTTTTGTGATCCCTTTGTTTCTTTTTTTCTTGTGCATCTCTCTCAGAGTGACGGACGCTCTGACCAATCAGAGAGCAGCTCCACTCAGACAGCATCATCACAGCTTTAACGAGCTGTTTGTGTAAAACTCTTTAATAAACAGAAAACAGTGAAATAAACAGAGAAAACATAAATACAGTTTGATGGGTTTTTGGTTATGAATGTATTTTAATTTTAAAGGTTTAGAACTAACACTGTCACTTTGTTTTGCTAATTACACTGTAATTTAATATAATTAAATAAATTAATGAATAACAATGACATTTACTTTTCCTCTCTGTTTGTGCAGGTTTGAGTCACATCTGACATTTTCTGACAAAATTACAAAAATGTGCCAAAAGGATGTTTTTTTTTCTCTCCACAAAACAAAACTGAACACACAACCATAACTTTATAATAAAATTCGGATCATAATAAAGTATTTTTGCTCACAGACACCAAAGTGTTCTGGACTGACAGTTTAGTCAGTCGTTTCAGTCAGAAATGGTTCATATAAAACTACAGTCTGGCTCTGATAACTGAGACTCTGACCGTTTTCACACTACAGCTTTTCCTGGATCAGGTTCTCTGATCTCAGTTCGGTACGTTTGGCCGAGTGTGGGAGCTGCTTTCGAGCCCAGGAGCAGAACAGAGAACCGATCTCTGGTCCTCCTGAAGTCGAAGGTCTGGGGGAACTCTGGTGGGTCCGCTGTGTGTGAGGAAGCTCTCCGCTCCCGGTGCTGCGTCTGGGGCTGCGTGATTGGCTCATTCTATAACGTTACTGCTTCAGCTTATTTCATCACTTCCCTTTTGGAGTGTGGTGATGGGGATGAAGCTGCCGACCATTCTGCAGACCTGACCACAGAAAATTGACGTATGGAGTTGTCCCTCCCCCAACTGAGCCCAGAATCAGTGTGAAAACGCCCTCAGTCTGGCTTTACACGCTGAAACTTTCATGCAGCTAGTTGTATGTTGTGAGTTGCATGCAACATAATTTCTATGCAACTTGACAGCTTCACCAGGCAATTTAAAAACAATAAAAGTTGTGCACAACACTTTCAGTTAGTTAATCTAATTAGCAGCTCTTATTTTTATTGTTAGAGATCTTCTCGTCGTCTGCGAGGTGTCGTTTACACGTTTGCAGCATTTTTATCTTCTTCGTATATTTTTTCTGTTCTGTGTTTCAGTAAAAGATTTTCATCGTTTGAATCCCAAATTAAACCAAACACTGTGTAAAATTCAGGTAATTCATGTAAAGAGAGAAGAGATGAATCCAGCTGTGTAAATCACAGTAACAGCCAAAGAGGGAAAAACGCTGGAAGCGGCTGTTTAAACAGCTGTTAGCGTTATCTAGATAACACAGCAGCTTATAGAAACACAAACTCAGAAGTCGTTGTTGTTGTTTAATTGATCTGTTGAAGTTAATATTTTTTAAGTGTCCTTTCACTCGATTCTTAATCAGTGGTCTGATTGGCTGTTTTATGAAACTTGTTGCGTGAAGTTGAGACATTTGCAACTGTTGCAGCTAAGTTTCAAATAAATTGCAGTACGCTTTACATTATATCAATAATATTTTAGGAGCATTAATATGCAACTCAGGTGCAATTTAGTTCCATGTAGGTTTCAAGCAACTAAAGTTGCAAGTAAGTTTGACTGTGTAAGATGTGTGTGTGTGTGTGTGTATATATATATATATATATATATATATATATATACATATATATATATATACATATATATGTATATGTGTACACATACATAAGTTTTTTTTATGTGTGTGTGGTGTGTGTGGTGGTGTGTGTGTGTGGTGTGTTTGTGTGTTCTGCAGGTTCTATGCTGCTGAAATCTGTATCGCTCTGAACTTCCTGCATGAGAAGGGCATCATCTACAGAGATCTAAAACTGGACAATGTTCTTCTGGACCAGGACGGTCATATCAAACTCACGGACTACGGCATGTGCAAGGTGACACGTTTATAACACATTTATTCAGGCTGTATGAAGGACACAACACAGTAATACTGTCTAGAACATACAGCACCACTCAAACCCTAAAGACATTCCGATCCAAATATTTATGAGCAAATGCTTGAAATTTGTTTCTAAGATAAACATAATGAAGTTCATGGAACGACTTCATTTCCAAAATTAAACTTAAGATTCAGAATTATGTTAAAAAATACACTAAATAAACAAATGTAACTGGATTTACACAATATCCCAACATTCATTCCTTCATTCCTTCATTTATTTATGTTTGTATGTATGGATGGATGTTATTGTTAACAGCAGCCTGAGAAGTGACTGAGGGCAAAGTATGAATTAGAATTTTATTATAATCAATTTTGTTTATTATCAGTTAATGTTCCAAAATCAATGCAGTTGCATCCCTAACTTACTCAGATCCACACAACACTGCATTCTAACCCCCAATAACTCAGATAGTAGAATTCTTCTATAGAATGTAGTTTACAAGACGTAACTGAGACACGAACATCTACAACTCAAACTCATTGACTGTTTATTTCAGGAGGGAATCAGACCAGGAGACACAACCAGCACTTTCTGCGGCACTCCGAACTACATCGCTCCGGAAATCCTGAGAGGAGAAGATTACGGTGAGAGGAGGCATTACACTGCTCACTGGCCACTTTATTAGAAACACCCACCTTGTGCTTCCACTAATTGGCCACTTTATTAGAAACGCCCACCTTGCGCTTCCACTAACTGGCCACATTATTAGAAACACTCACCTTGTTCTTCCACTAACTGGCCACTTTATTTCTCTCTCTCTCTCTCTCTCTCTCTCTCTCTCTCTCTCTCTCAGGGTTCAGTGTGGATTGGTGGGCTCTTGGTGTGCTGATGTTTGAGATGATGGCCGGCAGGTCTCCGTTTGATATCATCACCGACAATCCTGACATGAACACGGAGGAGTATCTGTTCCAGGGTAAGATTTTAAACGTTATTCCTCATAGCGATACACGACTGACGGCGTCATGCAGCCCTGGAAACGTTTCCATGGTAACAGCATCACTGGTGGAAAAGGCTGGTTATCAGAGGATATCAGGGCTAATGGGTTATTTAAGATGATTTACGGCCTGGAGCTCAACACTGAGATAATGTGCGTTCAACAGTGGTAAAGAAAAGAAAAAAAAACGTGACCGTCGAGGATAAGAGTTGGGAAAATCTTGCCGGAACGCTGTGCTGACGCTGCAGTGCTGCTGATGGAGGCACAGAGTGTTCAGAGTGTTCTGTAGGAGAGCTCTAAAGAACCTGTTTATCTCGCAGTAGCTACTTCCACACACAGAGCACCTTCACTCACCAACATCGACTTTAACCTAATGACTTTGACATCGTGCTCAATCACTGTTCATTAAAAACAAGAAGACAAAACCGGTTACTGTTATTAATATTCTAATGATAACAATGATTGCCTATATAATCAGTAGCCTGCAGAACGCACACTAAATTTTAGCCCTTTCATTTCATTAAGCACTGATTTATAAGCTGTAAACACGATTTATTTGGTCAGCTCACAGGATTTAGAGCTGAACCTGAAGTGTGTCTTTCTCTGATGTAAGCAGCTCCCCCACAATGCCTTACTCTGTGTGTAAGGGTCCACATTTAAAGCATCCTCCTGCACGGTCACACTCCTAAAAGATGGTTCTTAAAGGGTTCTTTAGTCAAGACAGTGGTTGCTTCTCGGCCATTTGGCTAAGATCAAGTGTAGCATCTGTTCTTGTAAGTTTAATATCTGATAGGTTCCCTATACGAGGACTGGTACTGCAGTACCTCCAGGAGCGGTGCACAGTGGGCTGGAGGTTAGGCAACCAGCTTTGTGACCGGAAGGTCGCCGGTTTGATCCCCTGAACCGACAGTGCATGACTGAAGCGCCCCTAACCCCCAACTGCTCCCCGGGTGCTGTGAATAGGGCTGCCCACCACTCTGGGCAAGTGTGCTCACTGCCCCCTAGTGTGTGTGTTCACTAGTGTGTATGTGGTGTTTCACTGCACTGATGGGTTAAAATGCGGAGGTGAAATTTCCCTGTTGTGGGACTAATAAGGGTCACTTAAACTATATAGAACCATGAACACTCAAAGAACCATTTGCAACCATTTGTGAAATGGTTCTTCAGATTGACGGAGAATGTGTTGTATATGGTTCTATGTAGCACCACAGAGGGTTCTTTTATTGTTACAAGTTTGACCTCGGAACAACAGCAGATTCTATTCAGAACCCTATACACACATTCCTCAATAATCAACCTTATTTACTATCCAGAACCACCAGTGAACCTACATGAGTCTTCTGAGTTTATATGGAATGTTGATGATGGAAAATAGTGGAAAATCTGAAATAATAAGTTTTTTTTTTGGGGACTATTTTGCCTCACAGCGCCCTGCATGTATCCCTCCACCATGAATGGAGTTTCAGTTCTCTAAACTATCATAAAACAGTGTCTCAGTCATCAGGCAGTGAATTCATAACCATTTACTGTAGGAACTTTCTGTGAGGGAGCTTTTAGAGGTGGACGTCTGGTTCCTATCACCACCACTGTGAACAGTTCTGACTCGTTAAGTTTATCTAGAAACCAAAAACAGCTCTGAATGACTGTTTACATCTTAACCACTTAAATATGCAGAGAATTGTGGAAAATCGGTGGAGTATTAAAGTTTCCCTTTAATATTGTTTGTTGTTTCTTCTTCTGTAAAACAGCAGTTTGGATATGAAATAATGTTTTTATCACCACCAATAACTGATTTTATCTCTCTCTCTCTCTCTCTCTCTCTCTCTCTCTCTCTCTCAGTTATTCTGGAGAAGCCGATCCGTATTCCTCGCTCTCTGTCTGTAAAAGCAGCGAGTGTGCTGAAAGGTTTTCTAAATAAGGTGAGAGAGCATTCTCTGTCCTTTCTACACCTCCGTCCTCATCCCTCGCTCCTCTCCTCTGCTCCTCTTTCTCTCACTTTTCCTCTCCAGTGGTGCTTTTTGACCTGCAGGTGTTCTGAATAGTGAACAAGTCCTGCACCCGAAATAACTCAACGACCTGAACGACCTGAATGACCTGAACTCAGAGCAGAACCAGAGAGAGGAGTTTAAAGAGAGAGTTCAACCAATCAAATCACATTACACTTCTCTGAGTATATGATGGGTAGAGGTGTTTCTAATAAAGTGGCCAGTTAGTGGAAGTAGGAGATGTGTGTTTCTAATAAAGTGGCCAGTTAATGGAAGTAGGAGTTGGGTGTTTCTAATAAAGTGGCCAGTTAGTGGAAGTAGGAGTTGGGTGTTTCTAATAAAGTGGCCAGTTAGTGGAAGTAGGAGTTGGGTGTTTCTAATAAAGTGGCCAGTTAGTGGAAGTAGAAGGTGTGTTTCTAATAAAGTGGCCATTAGTGGAAGTAGGAGTTGGGTGTTTCTAATAAAGTGGCCAGTTAGTGGAAGTAGAGGGTGGGTCGGGTTGGCGGTCCATTATGCTTTTACCTTAATTTGTCAGTTTATTTGAACCAATTATTTTTAATGTACTTCTATGGGTAAAAGCTTCGTACGTTGTACTCTGCAGGTTCTAAGAGCCTGTTTAACGCAGTGCTGCTGTTCTCATCGTGCATTTTGGTCATTCACAAACCTGAATTTGTTAACAAACGTCAGAAAAATGACCTGTTGTTTACTGTGAAGACTCGTTCCTGTACTGTGATATTTTCACCGTCGCCCCCTCTCAGCTCACTGAACCCTGTGAGCTCATTAGTAAAGCCCTCCTGTACGGACGACTTTCAGAGATCTGCTCCTCAGAACTTCAGCAGATGGTATTTACTGTGTGTTTTGGTTTGATTGGACGGGCTCAGCGTGATTTCCTCATATTCAGAGAAACATGTTTCAGAGTTTTGTAAATATTTACTCTGTTCCTGAGCTGTTTAACTTTCTGATGTGTTTCTAATTGAATCCTTTGTCCTCCAGGACCCCAAGGAGAGGCTGGGGTGCCAGGTCCAGACAGGCTTCACTGACATCAAGTCCCACACGTTCTTCAGAAGCATCGACTGGGACCAGGTGAGAACCATTTCCCATAAACCCTGTTACTAAAGCACCTAAACAAGGACAACAGGTCTTAATAAAAACTTAATTCAGTACAGCGGAGGCCAGTTTAACCCTCTAAACTCTGAGCTCATTCTCTCTGGATCTGTTCATCTCTTCTTAAACTCTCCTCTAAAGGCTCTTCATATATCATGATCCTCATATGTTTCATATCTAAATGCTCCGTTATCTTCATCACTACTTTCCAAAACCGCTGCAGCAGCTTCAGCAGCTGTAAACTCTCTGCACGCCGTTTCACACGAGTCTCCGATGTGGACTGAATGAAGAATGAAGGGTTTCCGGCGTGATGGTCAGTCCTTAGTGATTTCCTGAGTGTCTGTTGGTCAGTTTCACACAGAATGTAGACGGACAGACCAATCCACCGGTTCCACACGGTGAGAGGCAGATGACGTGTATCTCAGCCCCTCTTCATAGGCTCATAACTCCGGATGTGAGTGTCGTATGATCTCGTGATCAGATGGAATGGAAAGGGCGACTCTACAGATTCAGGAAGTGTTTGAACTGGATTTCTGAGCTGGATCATCACAAAAAACCTATTAGAAACACAGAGAAACATCTAATTTGACGCACCAGCGAGTTCATCAACCCCAGAGGGTTAACAGTGTGGATATTATATTTAATAATTTTACAGCAGCCTCTGTTACAAAGTAACCATGTTTAAAATGTAAAAGGCACGCAAGTGTCATGTAGAGACATTGGCATGATTAATGGTTCTCTGCATGGTGAAATGGTTCTTCAAATTGATGGAGAATGTGTTAAAAATGTTGTGTGTAGCACCAAAAAGGGCTCTGCTGTTGTTATGATGAGCTTGTATAGAGTAGAAGAAACCTTTTTGGTGCTCTGTAGAACCATTTTCAAACAAATTCTGCATTGAATCATGTACAGCACAGTCTCCATTTCATTGTTCTAAATAGAACCATTTCCTTTACTAAAAACCCTTAAAGAACCATTAAAGATCTATTGTAAGCATGTAAAATAAAGAATAATTTTATAATTGACTATGGAGTATCAGCGTCACTCTCACACAGGTGATGATGGTGAATCGTGAGTGTGAAAGAGAGAGAGTTCTGTAGGAGTTTCAGTCTTTACTGAGTCAGGTCTGCAGCACTTTGTTAGTAGTGCAGTGAAGACGAGGCTGTACAGTGTTCAGGTACCTTAGAGGGGTTCTGGAGGTTGCGTGTTCCGTTCTGGAGGTTGCGTGTTCCATTCTGGAGGTTGCGTGTTCCATTCTGGAGGTTGCATGTTCCGTTCTGGAGGTTGCGTGTTCCATTCTGGAGGTTGCGTGTTCCGTTCTGGAGGTTGCGTGTTCCGTTCTGGAGGTTGCGTGTTCCGTTCTGGAGGTTGCATGTTCCGTTCTGGAGGTTGCATGTTCAATTCTGGAGGTTGCGTGTTCTGTTCTGGAGGTTGCATGTTCAATTCTGGAGGTTGCGTGTTCCATTCTGGAGGTTGCGTGTTCCGTTCTGGAGGTTGTGTGTTCCGATCTGGAGGTTGCATGTTCAATTCTGGAGGTTGCGTGTTCCGTTCTGGAGGTTGCGTGTTCCGTTCTGGCTATGATGGAAATGAAAGCATGTTTTGTAGGAGGAGGTGAGCAAACAGATAAAGAGCTTTGCTGATATTTCATTCGCTGTTCAGCAGTTTCATACAGCTGCTTTGATGGTTTGTGAATTTTCTATGAAGACATTTGAAGTATATTATAAAGGCTGAGTGTTTGGGGGAGGCGCTCCACGTGTAAACGGTAAGGAAAGACGGTGTATTCAGTATGAGATTTCTGGCAAATGGTTGCGTGTAGATGGCTGAAAATTGGTATGTGGGCAGTGAAAACTGGTTTAAGCAGTTTGAGTTGGTGTGTTGGATTGTGTTTTAAGAATATTCAACGCTATTAAATACTCGATGTTAGATAGCCAGAGCCGGACCGCCGGCCGACCTGCTAGAGGTTGTGTGTTAAATACTGGAGGTTCTGTGATAAATTCTGAGGGTGTGCAATAGTGAAATAATTGGAGTGATGTGGTCAGAATTTCTAGTTCACTGACCATATTACCGAAACATATTACCTCTGAAATCTGATCTGTTTGGTCTCCATGACGACTGAATTTCGGACAGTAGCTATTCCAGAATAACAGCTCCTACCTTCATAATCTCATCATGAACTCCAGATAAGAAAACAGCATCACACAAACATCCTAACTAGACTGAACCTCCTAAATCCTGTCCTAACTTTAGGATGAACCCCAACAGGGTCCTCACTTCTGTTTAAGGTCCGTTTCTATGGTTTTTAGGCAGCTGAGTCAGCAGCATAGTTCACTACCAGCATAATGAGCTCCATTTATCTCTACTGTAAAACGCTGCTTTCACTGTGAGATGATTTTCTTTTCTAACTCTGCGTTTTAAAGATCTCAGACGCTGCAGACTCGATCTCCACCGCCCCTCTGATCACCTTCGTGTGTTAATGTTGATGATGAAATATTACAGTGATGGTGGTGAATAATGAGGAGACGGAGCTGAACGTGTGTCTGTTTATTAGGAGGAGTAACGTTAGCGCGCTCGGCTAAAGCGTTTGGGAAATGGAGACTGAAACTGGGGAGCGGCGACGCTCTGATAAACAGCAGGGGGCGCTCTCACAGTATTCACTACTCACAGTTTATCACACTAGTTTAGTTTGACCTTTTTTTACATCAGTAACAGCAGCTTAACTCACATTTTAACAATATTCTGATGACGTGTTTACGTTTCAGCTGTGTGAGTATGGTCGGTTGCTGGGAAACAGACATGACAGTTGATTGGCAACCTCAGTCCTGTACTTTTAAGAATTCCTAACTAGAGATAAGATGCTGTAAGATCAGATAAGTTTCCTAAATTAGGATCAGATTTGATTCTGTAATATGGATGTGTAAAATCTTGACCTGTCAGATCTGAACTCAAGATAAAAAGAGAGGAAGTTTCTGTAATACGGTGACACTCGACCACCTGAGCAGTGGGAGCTTGTTTATAGATCTATAAAAGCTTCCAGCCAGAAGGTCATTTCAGTCCAGTCTCCAGGTTATAAAGACACACAGTGGGCTGTAATAGTGCGGTGATGACTGTTGTGTGAAGGTGGCAACTGTATAACACACACCATTACACTGTGTGTGTGTGTGTGTGTGTGTGTGTGTGTGTAATTACACAGGTAAGCTTGAGCTCGCTGTACAGAGAGTTCACACTGTCCTGACATCTATTCCTCTTCATCTGTTATTCTCTCTGCAGTGAGATCTCACATTTACACCTGAACAAACACACACACACACACACACACACACACACACACACACACACAGGAATATACACCGATCAGGCGTAACATTATGACCACCTCCTTGTTTCTACACTCATTGTCCATTTTATCAGCTCCACTTACTACATAGGTGCACTTTGTAGTTCTACAGTTACAGACTGTAGTCCATCTGTTTCTCTGATACTTTGTTACCCTGTTCTTCAGTGGTCAGGACCCCCATGGACCCTCACAGAGCAGGTACTATTTGGGTGGTGGATCATTCTCAGCACTGCAGTAACACTGACGTGGTGGTGGTGTGTTAGTGTGTGTTGTGCTGGTCTGAGTGGATCAGACACAACAGTGCTGCTGGAGTTTTAAACACCTCAGTGTCACTGCTGGACTGAGAATAGTCCACCAACCAAAAATATCCAGCCAACAGTGTCCTGTGGGCAGCGTCCTGTGACCACTGATGAAGGACTAGAGGATGACCAACACAAACTGTGCAGCAGCAGATGAGCTATCGTCTCTGACTTGACATCTACAAGGTGGACTGACAAGGTAGGAGTGTCTATTAGAGTGGACAGTGAGTGGACACAGTGTTTAAAAACTCCAGCAGCACTGCTGTGTCTGATCCACTCGTACCAGCGCAACACACACTAACACACCACCACGTCAGTGTTACTGCAGTGCTGAGAATGATCCACCACCCAAATAGTACCTGCTCTGTGAGGGTCCATGGGGGTCCTGACCACTGAAGAACAGGGTAACGAAGTATGCAGAGAGAAATAAAGCATCTCATAATATTATAATCAATCACTCATTTCTCAATTCTTTCTCCTAAAACATCCTTAGAAGAAGCAACTGTAACTGTAACATTAGGTTGAACACATAACGACTCTAAATGTAGGTATTGTGATATAAACTGAGTCTGTTCTACAGTTTCTCATTAGGCTGAATGAATAACTGACTCTAAATGTAGGTATTGTGATTAGAGAGTGTAGTGTACAGTATTGGCTCTCTGTATCTCTCTAATTCTACATTAGTAGAGTCTGTTAACACTCTTTAACCACAGAGACGCTACAGCAATGAGAGAGAGAGAGAGAGAGAGAGAGAGAGAGAGAGAGAGAGAGCTGGTCTGGTGCTGTAAGAGAGATGGAGCACCATCTGTTCCTGTTTGTGTGGATCAGCGTGGAGCACCTACCACAGGACACATCTCAGCACAGAGAGAGGAGAGAGAATTTTTCTCTTCTCTTCTCTTCCTCTCTTCTCTTTTCATCTCTTTTCTTCTTCTCTTCTCCTCTCTTCTCTTCTCTTTTCTTGTCTTCTCTCCTCTTCTCCTCCCCTCTTTTCTCTTTTTTCCTTCTCTTCTCCTCTCTTCTCTTCTTTTCTTTTCTCCTCTCTTCTCTTATCTTCTCTTCTTCACTACTTCTCATCTACTCCTCTCCTGTCCTCCATCCCTCCTTCAAATACAGACAGAACAGACACTTCAAGCACTGTTGCCACTCCATATAGTTATTTATTCTCCCTCCCAGCAAATAGGAGAGAGAGAGTGAGAGAGAATGAGAGTGAGAGAGAGAGAGAGAGAGAAAACAGAAAAGGAGTGAAAGAGAGAGAGAAAAAACAGAGAAAGAGAGAGAGAGACAGAGAAAGAGGAAGAAAGCGGTGGGTGACAGCAAGCGCACACTCGAGTATCGTATCATATCATTTACCACAGACACGCCCCAGTTTACCCTCATGTACAAATAATTTGCATAAAACACCCTAATTCACACTGATGTTTCAGTACTGAGCCAACAAAAAAAATGGACATGCACTGCGCCCCCTACTGGACAGAAATAAAGTAGCTTTATAGTGTTAAAGTTACAAGGATTTCAAAGAATAAAATGTGAACTTAACAAAATGCTGCCTTTTTCAGATAAAATGGTAATTATATTCATAAATAACTGGCTGAGTGATGATGATGCACTATATCACTAAACAGAACCTCATATTTCTGTTTTTGTTGTTTTGTACTTTTTTACAGAATTTAAAATGCCAGCTGTCCTTACAGCCTGCTAAAATTTCACGATGACCGGACCAATAAAAAAGCTCCAGAACCACTTTTAAAAAATCCAGTTCCGTTAACTTCCATTCAGAGTTGTTGAACGTAGTATGTTGTGTATTTATATTATGGAGTCATTGACTGAATCAGTAGTTACGTTTAGGGATCAGTAGTTAGAACGTACAGTCACAGCATTTCGGTTTGCACATAGAAAATAACTACGTCCACTTTAGTACGAGGACGACTGTCTGCAGTTATTGGTCATTATTATTTTCTATTTTTACTGTTGCTGATATTGTTGAATGAATGTTATTGAAAGTAAATAACAGTGTCAGGTAGTTTTCAGGTGGTTAAACTAAAACCCAATTTCCAAAAAAGTTGGGATGCTGTGCAAAATGTGAATTAAAACAAAATGCAATGATGTGCAAATCATTTAAACCCTATATTTAATAGTGCAAAGACAACATCACAAATTAAATAATAAATAATAAAGTACATTTTATTTTTTTTTAAATATAAGCCCATTTTGAATTTAATGCCAACAACACGTTCCACAAATCAACATTTGAAATTCTTTTTGGAAATCATGGACACTGTGTCCTCCGGGCTAAAGACCACTCAGCTTGTTATCAGTGTACAGTTCTAAAGCCAGTATTCATGATGGTGTAGGGGGGCATTAGTGCACATGGCATGGGTGACGTGCACATCTGTGAAGGCACCATTAATGCTGAACAATATATACGTGTTTTGGCAACATATGCTGCCATCCAGACGACGTCTTTTTCAGAGAAGGCCTTGATTATTTCAGTAAGACGATGTCAAACCACATTCTGCATGTATTACAGCAGCATTGCTCCGTATTAAGAGTCACGGTGCTAAACTGACCTGCCTGCAGTCCAGACCTGTCACCACTGAAAACATTTGACACATTATAAAATGAAAAATGTGACAAATGAGCCCCTGAACTGATGAGCAGCTGAAATCCTTTATCAAACAAGAACAGAAAACATTTCACTTTCTAAACTACAGCAGTGTCTCCTCAGTTCCCAAACACTTACAGAGTGTTGATAATGAAGAGGTGATGAAACACAGTGGTAAACAGGCCCCCGTCCCAACTTTATTGGAACGTGTTGTTGGCATCAAATTCAAAATGGGCAAATATAAAAAAAAAAATCATTGCATTTTATTTTTATTTACATTCTACACAGCGTCCCAACTTTTTTGGAAATGGGGCTGTATAACGCTCTAGTTTACACACTACCAGACGTGAGTTTGATCGTACAGAATCGCTGAAGCTGAAACTGATCAAAGGTAAAACTGTGTGTGAAATCGGCGCTTATTTTCCGTTCGGACTGAGCCGTGATGAGGGGGGTCAGTGCGATTCGAGCGCTGTGTGTGGATGTTTAAGGTGTCTGTGCTGTTTTTCAGCTGGAGCAGAAGCAGGTCACTCCGCCGTTCAAACCTCAGATCACAGACGACTACGGCCTGGACAACTTCGACACGCAGTTCACCAACGAACCCGTGCAGCTAACGCCGGACGACGAGTGAGTGACCGCTCCACACAGACACAAACACTGGCTATGAAGGCTTTATGACACTACATAGGATCTATATGATTTATATAGTAACTATACAGGTTTATATAGGATCTATAAAGGTTTATAAGGGGTCTATGAGGGTTTATATAGGATCCATAAAGGTTTATATGGGGTCTGTACAGGTTTATATAGGACCTATGAAGGCTTTTAGTATTTTAAACATTATTATAAATGAGATGTTTCTCATTGTTTCTATAAATATCTCAGGAGTGATGATAATATTTATCTACTATTTTATTCATACATTTAGCTGCTGTTGTGATCCTGAGACCTTTAAACACTAAACAATTCGTCCACATCAGTAACGCTGTTTTCACCACTGATATGAAGAATTTCTAAAACCAGACCTAAATGTTTCAGCTTTAGGGCTGAATTGTCTCTGTACGCAGAGCTGCAGGTCAAAAGGGCCTCATTACAGAGCTGAGATTGTTCTGAACATTGATATACACTATAAGGACAAAAGTATTGGGACACCTACTCATCACACCCACAGGAGCTTTTATGAATCCCAGTCTAAATCCATAGGCATTAATATGGAGCTGGTCCCCCTCTGCAGCTCTAACAGCTTCCACTCTTCTGGGAAGCTTCTATAAGATCTGTCTGTGGGATTTTCTGTCCATTCATCCAGAAGAGCATTTGTGAGGTCAGACACTGATGCTGGACGAGAGGGTCTGGCTCACAGTCTCTGTTCTAGTTCATCCCAAAGGTGTTCAGTGGGGTTGGGGTCAGGGCTCTGTGTTGGCCGTGTGTCAGAGGCTGCATCCTATGACAGAGCCATGTTTGAACTCTCTGAGCTCTTCAGTGCGACCCTCTACTGCCAGTGTTTGTCTATGGAGGCTGCAAGGCTATGAGCTTGATTTGATCCACCTGTTAGTAATGGGTGTGGCTGAAACACCTGAACTCAACAATTAGGAGAGGTGTCCTAATACATTTGTCCATACAGTGTTTAACATGTAGGTATCATGTAATATGCAAGAGGCTTTAAAGGATAATATAACAAGATATGCAAAAATCAAGAATATGCGACTTTTTTAAAAAAATTGTCCACAATTAAATGGTTAAGATGTAATCAGAGAGGTTCAGAGCGGTTCAGAGTGGTTTGGTGTGAAACGCTCTGTTCTAGATAAACTTACCGAGTCAGAACTGTTCACAGTGGTGGTGATAGGAACCAGACGTCCACCTCTAAAAGCTCCCTTACAGAAAGTTCCTACATGAAATGGTTATGAATTCACTGCCTGATGACTGAGACACTGTTTTATGATAGTTTAGAGAACTTAAACTCCATTCATGGTGGAGGGATACATGCAGGGCGCTGTGAGGCAAAATAGTCCCCAAAGAAAACTTATTATTTCAGATTTTCCACCATTTTCCATCATCAACATTCCATATAGACTCAGAAGACTCGTGTAGGTTCACTGGTGGTTCTGGATAGTAAATAAAATGTCTATATCTGTGTTGTAGTCATGGCGACCCCTGGTTCCTATCACCACCACTGTAAAGACATCTGAACCATTTCACACCAAACCGCTCTGAATAAGTTTTTGAGGTTGGTGGAGTTCCCCTTCAGTACCCAGCTCGTAGGTTAGTTTAGTGTGATGTAAAGATCTGACCGCTGGTTTCAGCTGCTTTGTGTGCGTCACTGTTGGCCGAGTTGGTCCGAGCTGTGAAACGCATCGATTTTCTCTCACACAGCGCAAAACATCTCCAAAAGCTTTAATGGAAACCAGAGTGATTTATCGCTCCTGCTGAATTCATCAGAGAGACGATTATGTAAGAACAGGAGCGAATCACAGCTGCAGCGCTGAGACTGACGCGTTTAATAAGCGGGATTTCCAGCACTAAATATGAATTAAGCAGCGTGCGGAGTGCGCGAGGATCCATCTCACGGGTAAAAACGAGATGGAATGTGTTCACCATCTGGAGCCTGTCATCGAGAGGTGATGATGTCATATGGAAATAAGCCCTGCTAATGTTCTAATAGCTTTACATTATGAGCTGTGCTGGAAAGAACCTCTCTGGGAAGTAGAACCCAGAACTGCACCTCACTGATCCTTCAGTTACAAAGCAGAGCTCATCAGATCACTCACCCCTACTGTTAGCCTTCCTATAGGTGTTTCTAATAAAGTGGCCAGTTAATGGAAGCACAAGGTGGGTGTCTCTAATAAAGTGGGCAGTTAGTGGAAGAGTAAAACTGCCGCCCCCCTTCAGAAATCCGGGCGGTAATGGCCGCGAGCGCTGAGTGAGACTGAATGAGAATTCAGAGTGGGTGGGCAGTGAGATGGGAAAGAGCGTTTGGAGCTTGTTTGCGTGGTGTTTGTTTTTGTGGTCTTGGGTGCAGGAGATGGGGCGGGGCTTTGAGCTGCTGCTGTGTTTGAGCTGCAGTAGAGGGTCTGATCTGATGGGCGGAGACGTTGGGGGGATTCCGCAGGAACGCTGTTTTACATTAACATGAAACGATGAAGCTCCAAACAAAGGAGACAGAAAGAGAAGCTCAGATACTCTCGCACAGTTTCAGCTAGACTTTCAGACACACTCACTCGTACAGCAGCCTGGCCTGAGTTTGTGTGTGTGTGTGTGTGTGTGAGTGTGTGAGTGTGTGAGTGTGTGTGTGTGTGTGAGTGTGTGAGTGTGTGTGTGTGTGGTAACCCATTGTGTGTGAGAATATTTTTATTAGTGTGTGAGTGTGCACTAGTCTGTATATTAGTGTGTGTAATTAACCTGTTGTGTGTCTGTGTGTGTGTGTGTGTGTGTGTGTGTGTGTGTGTGTGTGTGTGTGCACTAGTCTGTATATTAGTGTGTGTAATTAACCTGTTGTGTGTGTGTGTGTGTGTGTGTGTGTGCACTAGTCTGTATATTAGTGTGTGTAATTAACCTGTTGTGTGTGTGTGTGTGTGTGTGTGTGTGTGTGTGTGTGTGTGCACTAGTCTGTATATTAGTGTGTGTAATTAACCTGTTGTGTGTGTGTGTGTGTGTGTGTGTGTGTGTGCACTAGTCTGTATATTAGTGTGTGTAATTAACCTGTTGTGTGTGTGTGTGAGTGTGTGTGTGTGTGTGTGTGTGTGTGCACTAGTCTGTATATTAGTGTGTGTAATTAACCTGTTGTGTGTCTGTGTGTGTGTGTGTGTGTGTGTGCACTAGTCTGTATATTAGTGTGTGTAATTAACCTGTTGTGTGTCTGTGTGTGTGTGTGTGTGTGTGTGTGTGCGCGCTCAGTTGTCTCACTTAAGTCAGGGCTGATGAGGCTTCAAAGTGGCGCTACAGACACATCAAACAGAGGAGTGGGTGAAGATTAAAGCTCTGACAGATCTGGCAGACTGAGAGAGAGACACAGACAGGGAGAAAGAGAGAGAGAGAGAGACAGACAGGGAGAGAGAGAGAGAGAGAGAGACAGACGGAGAAAGAAAGAGAATACAGACAGAGTGAGAGAGAGAGAGAGAGAGACAGACAGGGAGAGAGAGAGAGAGAGACAGACAGAGTGAGAGAGAGAGAGAGAGAGAGAGAGAGACAGACAGAGGGTAACTCCTTGTTACAGGTTCAGTCTCCCGGATTATTTGAGCGTTCCAGCTGAGGGAGCGCCGCTCGGCTTCCGTCACTCCACAGATTTTTATACGTGATTTTTAACAGACGGAGTAAAAAGACGTCACAGCACTTAAATATGATTCACCAGGTTTTAACGTTTCTACACTCGACTAGGAGATTCTTTATTTTCACACATCCCAAAAAAAAACAATCTCTGAAAACAGTGACGTAACAGGAGAGCAGGACATCCTGAATCCCTACTGTTCAGTGTTTTGGTTCCGGTGGTGACGGAACAGCAGACAGAGGTCAGTGAGAGACGCTGGAGTTTCCCTTTAATAGCTCGTCTCTCTGCGCCGCAAGCAGAGATGTGAGGGTTCCTCTCTCTCTCTCTCTCTCTCTCTCTCTCTCTCTCTCTCTCTCTCTCTCTCTCTCATCTGCTAACGCTTTCATGTCCTCTGAAAAACATTTGCTCTGTTGAGCGGTTTGTTTGTGTTGGTCAGAGGCCAGAAGTTCCTCCTTCTTTCTCTTTTTTACTTTGTGTCTTTTCTTTTCTTTTCTGTGTGTTTTTCTGCTCTGGCTGTGACTCGAGCTCCGTATTACAGCGTTCAGACATCAGTCAGCTGTGACCTCCTGGGCTCTGAGATTTTCCGCCTCAGGCCGTTAAACCCGCACGCCGCTCACCGCAGCTTCTCTACCGGGTTCAGTTTTTCAGCAGGTGCCATTCAGAAACTCCAGCCGAGAAGAATTAAACAGAACCAGTTTACTTAAAGACACTTACACAGGCGGGTTCTGATGCATAAATACAGATTTAAAATTACGTTCAGTTATTTGACACGATAAAAAACCCCAGAACCCCACACTACTGAACCACACACTGATGAACCTCACCCTACTGAACCTCACACTACTGAACCTCACACTGATGAACCTCACACTACTGAACCTCACACTGATGAACCTCACACTACTGAACCACACACTGATGAACCTCACCCTACTGAACCTCACACTACTGAACCTCACACTGATGAACCTCACACTACTGAACCTCACACTGATGAACCACACACTACTGAACCTCACACTGATTAACCACACCCTACTGAACCTCACACTACTGAACCTCACACTGATGAACCTCACCCTACTGAACCTCACCCTGATGAACCACACACTACTGAACCTCACACTGATGAACCTCACCCTACTGAACCTCACCCTGATGAACCACACACTACTGAACCTCACACTGATGAACCACACACTGATGAACCTCACACTACTGAACCTCACACTGATGAACCTCACACTACTGAACCTCACACTGATGAACCTCACACTACTGAACCTCACCCTGATGAACCACACACTACTGAACCTCACACTGATGAACCACACACTTATGAACCTCACACTACTGAACCTCACACTACTGAACCTCACACTGATGAACCTCACACTGATGAACCACACCCTACTGAACCACACACTGATGAACCTCACACTACTGAACCTCACACTGATAAACCTCACACTACTGAACCTCACCCTGATGAACCTCACACTACTGAACCTCACACTGATGAACCTCACACTGATGAACCACACCCTACTGAACCACACACTGATGAACCTCACACTACTGAACCTCACACTGATGAACCACACCCTACTGAACCTCACACTGATGAACCTCACACTGATGAACCTCACCCTACTGAACCACACTGATGAACCACACCCTACTGAACCTCACACTGATGAACCACACACTACTGAACCTCACACTGATGAACCACACCCTACTGAACCTC